CATGTGGGACCCTCCTCCGGTGGCGGGGAGCAGCCGGGATCGAACCGGCCCTGCAGAGGCTGCGGGCAGCTTTCGCCAACCAGCGCTCAACCGCTGCGCCACCAGGGAGGCCCTGAAATTATACTTTTTTATTAAATAGCAAAAGACAGCAACCTACTCGTCATTTACAAAAAGCCAAAATTTTGACAGTTATCAGTGATTACACAGTATTAGAGAAAATTGATAATTTGTATACTCAGGAATATTAAATATTGGATTTTTGAAAGAAGTCTTAGAAAGCATGCCATGCATTGGTGGGAACATTTTTTATTACCTTTATTCTAAATCATAATTCACAGTATTTTAATCTTTTACCAAACTGTAACATGTTTTAATCAATAAGCTATAATATTTTGATAGATCTTGTCACTCATACACAAATATTTGGAATTAAAAGTTATTTAGCTGAATGTATTTTTACGACAGGTGGTCTACTTCACATCACTCTCTAGGAAACTGGAATTTGAGGCGACTGCTAGGTCAGTGGTCCCTTTGTTTTACACGGCATACCTTCTGATCATGTTATTTGCAATCGTATCATGCTACAGGTAAAAAAACTTTCATTAGTTTTAAAACTTAAAAATATTTGTTGTAAGATTTTAACGTAACACGTGCCATTCTAACCATTTTAAGTGTACAGTTCACTGGCATCAATCACATCCCCACGGCTGCGTACTGTCGTGACTGTTTCCAAATATCTTTCATAACCCAAAGGAGGAACTCTGTGACCAGTGAGCAGTGGCTCCTGCTGCCCTTCTCTCATCCAGTCCTGATTAACCTTGACTCTATTCTTTCTATGAATTTGCCTTTCTTAGATTTTCATGTCAATGGAATCATACATTTTTTGTGACTGACTTATTTCACTAATCATAATGCTTCCAGGGCTTTCCTTGTGCACATGTGACATCTTCATTCCACTCGATGGCTCTGTGCTCCATTGTATGTGTGCTCCACATTTGGTTACCCACGGTCTTTTGTGGGCACTTGGAATATTTCCTTCTCATGACAATCGTAACACTGCAAGGAACATGGTGTGCTCATGTTAAGAGTCAGCTATTTGAAGAACCATCACACTGTTTTCCAGAGTCTACACCCTTTTCGATCACACCAGCAGTGATAGGGGCTCCAGTTTTTACACACTCTCCCTATAAACCAACACTCATTCTTTTCCCTTTTATCGATTTTACCTGTCTTAGTTGGTGTCAAGTGGTATCTCATTGTGGTGATGATTCGCATTTCTGTAAATATCTGATCATGTCATAGTCTTTTCAATTGTTTATTGGCCTCTTGTATATCCTCTTTGGAGAAATGTCTACCCAAGTCCTTTGCCCTTCTTATAATTGGGTTGTTTGACCTTTTGTTGTTGATTCAAGTTTTTCCTTATCACTTTCAATATTTCAGTTATTAAGCCACTTCTCAGCTATATGACTTGCTGATATTTTCTTACTCTTTATAGTCTGTCTCTTCACTTTGTTGACAATGGCCTGTAACAATTAACATTTTTTTTTATTTTTTATGATATCCACATATCTAATTTTTTTGGTTCTTGTATTTTTGGTATTATATCTAAGTGTACATTGACAAGTCCAAGGTCATGCACACTGAATCTGTGTTTCCCTCTACAAGTTTTTATGGTTTTAACTGTTTTTTAAATCAATGATCAATGTCTAATTCAGTTCTGTTTTATGGTATTTAGTTAAGGTCCCAGCATCATCCTTGTGTATGTGACGATCTAGTTTTCCAAGAACCATTTATTGAAGAGACTTTTCCAGTTTGTTAGACTTACTACACTTGTCAATCAACTGGCTATATTTATGGATTATTTCTGGACTCCCAATTCTATACTGTTAGTCTGTATGTTTATTTGTATGCTAGTCACACATTTTTTTTTTTTTTTAAGATTTATTTATTTTATTTATACCAGCACTGGGTACAGTCAGAAGCGCAGGAGGGTGAGAGAATTCAACAGAGCCAGATAGGGGAACGGAACAGGCAGACTGACAAAATACACTGCTGAGGGGAGCAGCAGGTGGCACGAGAGTTCTGCGCACCATGTGCGACCCTCACCAGCGGCAGGGATCGAACTGGCTCTGCATAAGCTGCGGGCAGCTTCGCAAGCCAGTGATCAACCTCTGTGCCACCGGGAGGTCCCCATTGTTTTAATTACAGTAACTTGTTGTAAGTTTTGAAATCTGGAAATCTCAGTCCTGCAATTTTTTCTTCTTTTTCAAGATTGTTTTGGATATCCTGGGCTCCTTGCAATTTCAAGTGAATTTGAGGGTTGGCTCTTCCATTTCTGAAAAAGATAAAAGGAAATTGCAATTTCAATAGAAATTGAGTTGAATCAGTAGATTGCTGGGTGATTGACATTTTCACAGTATTAATCCTTCACATCAACTAAGGATGTCTTTCTATTAAATTAGGTTTTCTTTAGTTTCTTTCACCAGTGTTTTTTAATTTTCAGTATACACATCTGTTACCTTCTTGGTCAAATGTATTCTTAAGTATTTTCTTCTTTTAGATACTATTTGAATAGAATCACTTTCTTAATTTCCTTTGCAATTGCTCTTTGCATGTAAATAGAAACAGAGCTGATGTTTATAAGTTGTTCTTGTATCTTGTAGCTTTGTTGAATTTTTTGTAACTAGTAGTTTTCTTGTGGATGCTTTGGAATTTTCATATCTGTGATTATGTAATCTCTGAAACAGGATACTTATATTTCTTACTTTCCAGCTTGAATTCTTTTTATTCTATTCCTTGACAAATGGCTCTGGCGAGCAATTCCAGCACAATGCTAAATCTGGTCAGCATCTCCATGTTTCACTTGTTTGTGTTGTATATGTTTGTTGGTTGTTTTTTTAGCTTTTCAGCTCCAGAATTTCTGTTTGGTTCCTTTTAAATTTTTCGATGTATATTATTATTTCATTCATATATTGCTTTCCTTGTCAGTGTTCTCCTTAAGCATTCTGAGCATATTTAGGACGGTGTTTCTCATAGTATTTGTCTAGTATGCCTTCCTCCTTTCCATATTGCAAAACTACTTCCTGGGTTGGAGCACACACAAAGAGGAAAAGGACCAGGAAATTTCTGTCGGCACAGGTGCTGAGTATAGTCGTAATACTTGCCTTCCTTGGACTTGAATATATGTAACTGATTTTCCTGCTGGTGCCTTTGTAGATTCTTTTGACAATTCTCCCTCCCTCTCTCTGTTATCAATACGACTATCTTATGTTTGTTTAGCTCAGGGATTCAACACATTTGAGCATTGCATATTTTTTGGCTTGGAATGAAATCATTTGGACAACAGTAAGACCTTCCCAAGAGAGTATTGCCAAATTGAACACCATTCTATGGCAAGTAGTGGTATATTGATTTTGTAGTCTATTTCATATTTGGCATTTTAGAAATGACAAGTCTTATTTTGCCAACTATTAGATCAATTTCTGATAAAATCTGGAAAATCTTTCTCCTCTCAAATATACTTTAATTGTTCTTGTGTTTAATAGACATCGTTATCTTTTAGAAAGATGTGTCCTCCTCCCCGAACATACAGTTTTCTAAGTGTAATCATTTTCAATTCAGTCCGATGCTGTCAAGTTATTAGAATGTTCAGAAAATTGGCCATTTTGCTGTCAGGGATGCCTCAATTTGACTGACCATTGGAATCGTGTGAGGAAAATTTTAGACACAATGATTCTGCAGCGTCATTGTAAACCTACTGAGTGAAGATCTGTTGATCCCTGGTCATAGGAAATCTAAAGTTGATCATTCTCCAATCATTTTGATAAACTGCTTCTATCAAGTTTCTTGTAGAGTTCTAGAATATCTGCAAGTGCATTCATCAGTCTCCTACAGTGTCCATTTTCATATCTTTCCTTCACTTACAATTATTAACAGTTGCTTAGAGAACATCAGCACAACTAGTCAAAGTAAAGTCACTGTAGCCAACAATTTACCTTCCTACATCAGTGTTTAAAAATTTTACATAAAAATGCAGAAACTTGTAAAAGGGTTTGAGACTAAACATGTCCTGTGTAGCTCTGACTAATCTTTTTGCATTTGAAGTTTATCTTTGTTATGTTTGTATTGTTTGTATCTTAAATATTTATAAGTATTGTTTTCTTTTAAGATTTATTTATGTATGCAAGCTGGGGTACAGGCCAGAGGTGCAGGGATGGTGAGAGGATTCACCAGAGCCAGAGCGGGGAGCAGAGCAGGCAGAAGGACCGAAGTACACTGCTGAGGGGAGCAGCGGGCGGCAGGAGAGGTCTGCGCGCCATGTGGGACCCCCTCTGGTGGCCGGAGCAGCCGGGGATCGAACTGGCGCTGCGGAGGCTTCGGGCAGCTTCGCAACCCAGCGCTCAACTGCTGCGCCACCGGGGAGGCCCCTATAAGTATTGTTTTCAAGAAGTATTGCAAAAGGAAAATATTAATTACATTCAAATTTATTGTAACCAAGCAATTTACTTTTTCTCTGAAATTCGCGTGTGTGTGTGTTTGTGTGTGTGTATTTGGGACAGTAAATTTAACTCAAGGCACCAGCAGTTTGAGAAAAAGTGAAACACATCAATGGTGCAGAAAACTTTTATTAAAAAGAAAGTTTTGCTATGTGAATATGGTCTGAAAAAGTCTTTTTGTCACATTCTGTTTTGGAATCAGTAGCTCCATTTCCTTAGTTGTCTCTCCTAGTCTTCAAACTTAGTTTCTTTTTCCTATAGAAGTCCAGAGAAACTTTTATCAATCATTTGTTTTAAAACTATTCACATAAAATTAAAATATAAAACCACAGATGTTTGTCAATATTTTAAAATGTAATAAAGTTATTGTGGAGGCAAAGTACTGCATACATGCTTTCAAATGCTCTCTCTATATTCCTATTTCTGGTGGTCCAACAGAGAAACAGAAAAGTCATTTGTTGATCCCAAAACAGTACATTTCAAAACATTTTTTTTTTTGCAATTAATAGCAACTTTTCTAGAACCCACTTCATCAATAAAGGAGAATCTTGAAACTGTTTTAGCAGGATGCTTTAATGCATTTTATTAACCACATACTATCTCTGTTGTAAGGAACTCTTTAGGTTGGTGTTAATAGCTAGTTGGAATCAGGAAATGAGTGCAAAGATAATTGGATGTGGGTACTTTCTCAACTACAGCTGCCTGCCCTTTAGTGTTGTGTTCTATTCACACACAACTCCTTGAACACTAGAGTGGAATTAACCATCTGCTGTGCTCCAGTACATGCATGTGGTTCTGAAACACCATTAGGGAATTAGTGCTTGGCCAGCTGCATTAGAAGATAGTTAAGTTAAAGCACAAAATGCCAACTTTTATTTTCCCTCTTTGAATTGGTGTGGTGGGTCTGGGATAGTGCATGGGAATTAAAGGTCTCCAGGAGACAGGTGTAGAATGGTCGCAGAAGAGATTTCAGAACAGGTCCAAATCAAGAATGTCATGAATTGATGGAATTTGAGTATGGAAGCTGCTGCTGAAAATTCATCATTTTTCCCTCCCTATTTACAGGTTTAGCTGTATACGAAACAAAATGTTTATTGCAGTCGTTGGAGTGATTTCTGTTGCCTTGGCAGTGGTGAGTGGCTTTGGCCTCATGTTGTACGTGGGGGTGCCATTTGTGACAATAGTTGCCAATGCACCATTTCTAATACTAGGTGAGTAAAGCAAATGTGCGGCTACACTATGTGTGTGTTTGGGAGAAAGTAGATAACAGAAAGAGTTTATGATAGATTTAGTAAAAGAACTGTGCTTAGATGACTACAGATCCAAAATAAGGTGTCAGAAATTAAGATAAACATTAAATTGTGTTTTCAGAACTGGAAAAATTAAGGACCCCAAATGGAAAAGTAAAGAGAATGACATGAGCAGGCAGTTCTCTCTCTCTCTCTCTCTCTCTCTCTCTCTCTCTCTCTCTCTCTCTCTCTCTCTCTCTCTCTCTCTCTCTCTCTCTCTCTCTCTCTCTCTCTCTCTCTCTCTCTCTCTCACACACACACACACAATGCTGAAAAGGGAAAATACAACACACTGAAAATGTAAGGGGGAAAAATATATGACCTCTCAATCAAGGGATGCAAATTAAACCAAAACTTAGATGCCTTGTTTTCTTATTAGAATAATAAATATTGTGAGACTGAAGCTTTTGGGGTGGTTGTATCTAATGAACACTGTCATCTGCTGCTAGGAGATTATGAATGGGCTCATACTTAGTCCAATTTTTGTATCAAATCAAAAGGATTCCAAGGGGATTCAAGGTGCATGTCTTTCACCTCTCCATTCTACTTCTAGGAATTTGTCCTAATAATTGAAAAAATGCTCCAAAAAGTAGAGTAAGTATGTTCATTTCAGTGTGATTGAGAATTGAAAAAATAATTAAAAGCAATCTACCATATCCACAGGAGATTTGTGAATTCAAACCTAGGAAACCTTTATATTCCCACCAAGAAAGTACTAGGGTTCTTTTTTCTCCTTATCCTAACCAACCTCTGTGGTTTCTGTTAGATACACATGTAGCCCATTCTTACTGGAGTGAGGTGGTACATCCCTCTGCTTTTGATTTGCCTTTCCATGATGATATGTGATGTTGAACATTTCCTTCATGTGCCTGCTGGCCATCTGTGTGTCGTCTTGGAGAAGTGACTATTTAGCTCTCCTGTGCATTTTTGATTGGCTTGTTTTCATTTGGTTGAGTTGTCTGAGTCCTTTGTAGATCTTAGATATTAGCTACTTGGCAGGTGTGTGATGTGCAAATGTATTCTCCCATTCAGTAGGGTGTCAAATGTATTCTCCCATTCAGTAGGGTGTCATTTCATTTTGATGAGACATCCTTTCGCTGGGAAGAAGCCTTTTAGCTTGTGCAGTATCATTTGTTTATTTTTGCTTTTGTCTTCTTGAAGTTGGAGTCAAATCCCCAAAGAAACCATGAAGCCAATATTATGGCGTATTTTGCCTGGTTCCTTTTATGTATTATATGACTGCAGATCTTACATCCAAACCTTTAATCCACTTTGAGTTATTTTTTGTGTATGGTAGGAGAGAGTGGTCTAGTTCTTTTTTCTACTTGTGGCTACCCAGTTTTGCAGTACCGTTTGTTGAAGAGAACTTTGTTTTTCCATTGTGTACTCTTGACTCCTGTTTTGTACATTAACTGTCCATAAAAGTATGGGTTTATTTCTGGGCTGTCATTTCTATACCATTGGTCTGTGTGTCTGTTTTAATTCCAATACATTTTTTGGTCAATATTGCTTTGACTATTTGGGGTCTTTTCTGGCTCTATATAAATTTCAATTAAATTTGCTCTATTTCTTTGAAAAATTCCATTAGAACTTTGATAGGAATTCCATTTCATCTCTATCTGTCTTACTTTGGAGAAGGTGTACATGTTAACAATATTAATTCTTCCAATCCATGAGCGGGGAATATCTTTCTATTTTCTTGCATCTTATTATATTACATTTAGCAATACCTTATCATTTTCATTGAATCGATCATTCACCTCTTAATTTTTTTTTACTTTTATTTCTTATTTTTCAATTTTTACATCATTGCTCATTTTTGAACAATATTTGCTTCCCCCAGTCCCTCATGTGCAGTCCCCATTGAGTTTCCTTCCCCAATGCACTCGTGCACCATCACCTCAGTCCCCAGTGCTCCTCCCTCCCTCTGATCCCTCTCCTTCCTCCTCCCCTGCAGGATGTCTCTGATTTATAATATTGTCTTTATTGTGTTGTGTTTTGTGCTGTTATTATTTTTTTACACTGATGTCTTATTGGGTTCCCCTATATTCCTGCTTTAAGTGAAACCATCCAATATTTTTCTTTTTCCTTCTGGCTCCTTTCACTGAGCTAATTCCTTCTAGGTCCATCCATGTTGCTGCAAATGGCATGAGTTTATCTTTTTTGATTGCTGAGTAATATTCCATTGTGTATATGTGCCACCTCTTCTTAGATCATTCACCTCTTTTGTTAGGTTTATTTCTAGGTATTTAATACTTTTCGATGTTATTGTAAATGAGATTGTTTTCCTGAGGGCTTTCTCTTCTCGTTCATTATTTGCATATAGGAATAAACAGAATTTTGCATGTTGATTTTGCAGTCTCTCACTTCCCTGATCGAATATTTTGTAAAATGTAGTGTTTAGGTTTTACTATATGTATTATCATGTCATCTATAAATAGTGATAGTTTGACTTCTTTGTTTCCAATTTGGGTTCCTTTTATATCCCTCTCTTGCCTAATAGCTCTAGTACCTCCAATACTACGTTGAACATGGGTGGTGATAGTGCACATCATTGTTGTGTATCTGAAATCTTATCCTATTCTCTCCCTGATTATATTACCTGTGGGTGTGGTATAGATGCCTTTAATCTGTGGCGATATGTTCCTTCTACCCCCTTGTACTAAGAGTTTTTTTCTTACTGAGTCTAGCTAGAAGTTTTCTATCTTATTTTTTCCCTAAGTTCCAGCTACTCATTTCATTGATTTTTTAAATTAAAAGACTTTTTTAACATTATTTATTTATGCATACAAGGTGGGGAGTACAGGCCAGAGGTATGGGGGATGAGAGGATTCACCAGAGACAGAGCGGGGAACAGAACAGGCAAACTGACTGAAATACACTGCTGAGGGGAACAGCGGGCAAGTCAGGAGATATCTGCTGCAAAATGTGCGCAGCTCCCTGGTCAAGGATCGAACCCGTGGCCCAGTGGCTGCAGATAACTTCATAGGTTGTGTCTTACCCTTGCACCACCAGGGAGGTCCTCAATGACTTTTTTAAACTGTCATTTTAAATCCTATGTCATTTATTTCCACTGTGATTTTTATTATTTCCTTCCTTCAACTAGCTTTTTTGCTAATTCTTTCAGGTAATGTTAGCATATTTATTTGAGTTCTTTCTTATTTCTTGATGTGGGCCTGTGTTGCCTTGTACTTCACTATTGGAACTGTTCTTGCTCCTGGCCAGAGGTTCTGATAGGTTGTGTCTTCATTTTCCATTGTCTCCAGGTTTTTTTTTTTTAATTTCTTCTTTGATTTCCTCATTAACCCAATAGTCATGAGTGTGGTGCTTTATAGTCACCACCTACTCAGGGTTTTTCCCACCTTCCATTTGTGCTTGATTTCTATTTGATACCATTGTGATCAGAAAAGGTGCCTGACAATGATTTCAAACTTCATGAATTTATTCACACTTGTTTTATGATCCAACATGTGATCCACTCTGGAAAATGTTCCATGTGACCTTCAGAAGAATGTGTGCTCAGCTTTTGGGGAGTGTCGTTCTCCATAAATGTCTGGTGGGCTCAAGCGGTCTATTGCTCACTTAAGGCTATTGTTTCCTTGTCTATATTCCCTCTGGTTGATCTGTCTTTGAAGTAAGTGGGGTGTCTTCTACCAAAGACTTCTACCATCATTGTGTTGTGGTCAATGTCTGTTTTTAGGTTTGTCACATAGTTGTCTTATATATTTGGGTGCACCTTTGTTTGCTGCATGTATACTGATGGTATATCAATCCTTTCCTGATGTGTTGCTCCATTAACCACTATGCAATGACCATTCTGCCTCTTGTTCCCCTTTTTACCTGCAAGGGTTTTTCTTTGTCTGATGAAATATGTCTGTCTCTGCCTTTTTGAGGGTCCCATTCACTTGTAGGATTTTTTCCCAGCCATTTGCTTTGAATCTGTTTATCTTCTGAACTCACATAGGTCTCCTGGAGACAACAAGAAGTTGGATTTGTTTTCAGATCCAACCATCCTTTCTGTGCCTTTTGCTTGGCAAGTTCATTCCATTCAAACTTAAAGTGATTATTGATATAAAGGTATTAGCTACTGTAATTTTGTCTTTAGTTTTCTCTTCTATAGTTTAGTTTCTTGTGACTTTTCTCATGTGAAATTCAGATAGGAGTTCTCTTTTCAATATTTCTTGAGGAGGAAGTCTAGTGATAGCAAACTCCTGCTTTCATTTGTCTGGGAAGTCCTTATTTTCTCCCTCACATCTGAATGAGAGTCTTGCAGGATATATATTCTTGGCTGGCAGTTTTGATCTTTGAGTGTTTCGCATACATTATTCCATTCTCTCCTCACTTGTTGAATTTCCTCAGAGAATTCAGACGTAAGCCTGAAGAGGGTACTTTTACAGGTTATCTGCTTTTTTTCTGCCTGACTGCCTTCTTCGTTCTGTCTTTGCCTTGAACTCTTTCTAGTTTCCTTACTGTGCATCTTGACATAGGTTAACTTCAGCAGGGGACCTACCTTGGTGGATTTGCTTCCAGGCCCTGAGGTCTGCCAAGGGCTACTTCCAGGACTGCCTCCCCCCCCCCATTAGAGATCACTGATGTCTGCACCAATGCCTGCTGTGGCTGGTCTGCTTCCAGTCCTGCCCTGGCTCACTGAGAACTGCCAAGGCCTGCTGTCAATGGGGCTGCTTCCATGAGCCACTGCTGAGCTCACATATCTGCACCAATGTCTGGGGGCCTGGGGGTGGGTCTGCTTCAGGACCCGGTCTGGAGGCTTGCTGAGGTCTGCCAAATGTTTCTGTGTAATCACATTGCCAGTTCTGCCAGGCCACTGGGGCTCACCTCACTGCCTAGGCAGGCTACCTGCTTGGCCTGTTCCACTGCTTGCTGGGGTCTCCCTCCTCTGGATGGGCACTTTACTTGTGCTGTAATTGTCTGTTTTTCCTTCAGGAGTCATTGGCCTTGTTCTGTTGCAATCTAGTTTGAACACATGGAGAGGGTGAGCCCAGCATCTTTACTCTGCTGCCATTTTGTCCCTTTGATATTGTTTTTTAAGTGAACTTTCTATGCCTTTATTTTTGTTACTTCTAGGACCCATATGAGATGGATGTGATTTCTCTTTGTTTTCCTGAAAGGAAAACATGATATCCTTTTTCAAATTCCTTTTTTCCTGCATTGATCTATTGTGTGTTTGCCAACATGGTGTTTCTCGAGCTCATCGATTCTTTCCATTGCTTCTGTTTGTCTGCTACTGAGGCCCTCAATGAATGTTTTTCATTCAGTTATAGTGTTTCAGACTTCTGTGATTTCTAACTGTAGCCACCTCATATTGCTTTGTTTGTATTCTCGTGCTGGCTCATGTTCTCTGTTATTGGAGTTCCATGGCTTTGTTAGAACTTTTGCCCTAAATCTATGTCAGTCATGTGCTGCAGTTTTGCTGGAATGGGGCTCCCATCTTCCGTTTTTCCCTCCAACATTTGTGATCTGTTCGTCTGTCCCCTCGTTTTTAATTTTGATGGGTTGTAGTAGGGATAGACTTTCAAATCATTGTCTTTTCCCCTGTTGAAGTAATGAGAGAACTGGTCCTTATGATGGGGCAGAAGGTACAGTGAGTGCCAGGGCAGTGGGGCACCAAAGAATCACCCCAATGAATGCCAGGAATTCAAGCTTCCTACTGTGCTGTGGATACCAGAGGTGGCGCTGGGAAGTGCTCCCCACTTCTTTGCCCATTTCTCAGCCTTAATGTCCTTCATGGCTTCATGCTCACGCTAAGCTGTTCTTGAGCGCTTGAGCTTGAGCTTGAGCACTGGGCACAGATTGCAGCTGACATGGGCTCACAGGCAGGGAGTTCTCTTCTCTTTTGACACTCAAAGCCTTATCCTGGGGTGTGAGTGCCTGTCATTAGCAGGCACTGAGCTCTAGTTTACCAGGATTCCTTTGTTGTTTTGGCTTTAGCCACATGTTGGGGTGGCGATTTCTCTGAATATCCCAGTCTCGAGTAGTAGCCTTTCCTATGGGGAGACGCAGGTGACCTGACTCAGCTCTCCCTGTTGAGAGGTCAGGATCCAGCTGTTCTATACTGTGGGCCTCCACTCAAGCCAGTAATGCTCATGCTGAACTACCACCCCAAAGCTTTCCAGTTCCTGGCTGTCAACTTGCTGACTCCCTTATTCAGTGCATTGCCAGGTGTCAGGAGTCCCTGGTATTGCTGTGTGTCAAACCCACAACTGTAGGGGTTTCCTTTTTTTAACATTTATTTATTTATGCATACAAGAGCTGGGGTAGAGGCCCGAGGAGAGGGGGCGTAAGAGGATTCTCACTGACTGAAATACACAGGCACACTGACTGAAATACACTGCTGAGGGGAGCAGCGAGCGAGTCAGGAGAAGTCTGCTTGCCATGTGGGTTGCTCCCTGGCCAGCCAGGGCATCGAACTCGTGCTGCAGAGTCTGCGGATTGCTTCACAGGCTGCGTCTCATCCCCTTGCACCACCAGGGAGGCCCAACTGTAGGGGTTGTTGCATAGCATGTGCCCACCTGCCATGAGTTGTGCTGCCCCAATCTCACTACACAGAGTTTGCTTCATGTTTTCCCTCCCTTGGGACTGCCGCTCCTCAGATATGCTGTGGAGGACTGTTTTTCCTTCAGGGGTTTTGGGCCTTGCTCTATTGCAATCTAGTTGTGGGATATCTGGAGAAGGTGAGGCCATCTTACTAGATTCAGCTTGGGAAGTTCGAATGACATTATCTGGATATCAAAAACAGACTATCAGGAAAACTAGCGTGAGTGTGCCTGTAAATGACTCCGTGCCTCTCAAGTCATACCGCAAAGATAGACTGATGCTGTTGGTGGTCAGAAAGGTTCAGTAACAGAATGTTGGCTGAAAGTGTTTATGCATTTCTGTGAAATGGCTTATGAGAGAAAATGGTCTCTCAAGTAATCTAGTGGAATCAGAAACAGATTGCTAATCCTGCTTGAATTAACACACATCCACCAGGTTTCCTGATCTCAACACCGAGACACCATAATTGGAGAGGTGGAGTATACTGTGCTGTGTAGAAATAATAGCAATCCGTGCAAAGCACACGTTTATTACAGAGGGAGGAGTGTGCTCTGTTGTGGACTCAGAGACAACCAAGGAGAGTGTTACCTAAGCACAGATTCTGTGAGATTAATAAAACCTGAAGGACCAAAGAATAAGACCTTAAGGGACAAAGGATCATTTCACTTAGATGTGGAATATAGGGAAACTAGACAAAGGGTCAGACAAAGACAAACTTTCAAAGCAACACTTGAAAGCTGACCTAGAGCTGAGACAGCCAGGAAGCGGGGGGGATGGGGAGGGTGGCAAGAGGGACAGGGAGGAGAGCACAAGGACTCTGGTGGAGGACCACGGGTGCGCTGGTACTGGGAGAGCGAAGGTGGCCACACCTGAGGGGAGAAATCCTAGACTGTCAAAAACTCAACAAGGATGGAAAACAATGTTGCTTCATTCAAAAGAGAAAAAGGGGAAAACCTTTTGAATTATGCTATTTACACTTTAATGGATATGAATGTGCATTAAGATTTTTTTCTTAACAGGTGTTGGCGTTGATGACATGTTTATCATGATTTCTGCCTGGCAGAAGACCAACATCATGGACAGCGTACAACAGCGAATGTCTGACGTCTACTCCCACGTGGCGGTGTCCATCACCATCACCACTCTCACAAATGTCCTGGCCTTCTTTACAGGGGTAATGACCTCCTTTAAGTCCGTGCAGTACTTTTGCATTTACACGGGAACAACCTTGCTCTTCTGTTATTTTTATAACATCACCTGTTTTGGCGCCTCTATGGCCCTAGATGGTAGGAGAGAAGCGGCCTGTCAGCGCAGGCTGCAAAGGTCAGAGGGAAACCCGGACCAAAATTCTTCCTCGCTGATAAGGTGCTGCTGCCTCCCATTTAGTTCTCTTCGAACTGATGAAGAATCGAGCATCCATCCAATGAACTTGTTCTTTAGAGATTATTTTGGCCGCTTTCTCACAAACACTAAGTCCAAGTTTGTGATAGTGGTTTTATACCTTCTGTACATCACATTCAGTATATATGGCTGTTTCCAAGTGCAGGAAGGTTTAGACCTTCGACATCTGGCAAGTGACGATTCCTATATCACACCCTATTTTAACATCCATGAAGAGCATTTTTCAGATTATGGTCCCATCGTGATGGTTATCATGACTGAAGCAGTTGACTACTGGGATAAAGACACTAGGCAAACATTGGGGAAATGTCTGACCGCTTTTGAAAACAGTGATTATGTCATTCAAAATCTAACACAGTTTTGGTTACAAGCATATATACAGTATATGGAAGCCAACAACTTAGCTGTAAATGACAAAGATAGTTTTATAAACAACATTCCTGGTTTTTTAGTGCATATTCCAATTTTTACATATGATATTAATATTTCATCATCACATGAGATTACTTCTTCCTGGGCCTTCATTCAGACCACGGGTGTTTCTTCTTCACGCAGTAAGAAGAACATGTTATTCCAATTACGAAGTATTGCCAAAAGGTGTGAGATTCCCCTAATGGTGTATAACCCAGCTTTTATCTATTTTGATCAATATTCTGCAATCTTAGAAAACACTATTCGAAGTGTCATTGTTGCAACCACAGCTATGTTCATTGTTTCTTTATTGTTAATTCCCCACCCATTGTGTTCCTTGTGGGTCACTTTTTCTATTGGCTCTGTGATTGTAGGAATAACAGGTTTCATGGGATTCTGGCATGTCAACCTTGATTCCGTATCCATGATGAATCTTGTGATTTGTATAGGGTTTTCTTTTGATTTTTGTGCACATATTTCATATGCATTTGTTTCCAGTTCTAAACCCTCAGCAAACCAAAAAGCAATTGAGGCATTGTTTTTGCTAGGATACGCAGTGTTACAAAGTGCACTGTCAACAATAATAGGAGTGTCTGTTTTATCTGCAGCTAACACATACATCTTCAGGACATGTTTTAAGATTATGTTTCTTGTCATGGTATTGGGGGCTATTCATGGCCTAGTTTTTATTCCAGTATTCTTAACCATTTTTTGAAGATTTGTTGGAATATCCACTAACAAATCAGAGGCCAATGATAGAATTCTTGACTGCCCATACCCAGTGGTAAAAATGCTCTTTTAAGCATAGTTGATAAACTGAAAACAAATGCATGTTTCCTTGATGTGGAAATCTCATCCCAAGCTGTTCTTTATAATATCCCTAGAAAAATTAATTAGTCCTACATTAAAATATGTTTACTAAATTAGGAACTGTTGTCATCTTTATTTTAAACTATAAAAATTGGATGTAACCAGATATATGAAAAAAATGTTCAATGTCACTTGCAATCAGGGAAATGCAAATCAAAACTACAATAAGATACCATCTCACACCAGTGAGATGGCACATATTAAAAAAACTAGCAACAACAAATGTTGGCTAGGATGTAGAAATAAAGGAACTCTCCGGCACTGCTTTTGGGAGTGTAAACTGGTCCAAACACTATGGAAAGCTGTGAGGAGATTCCTCACCCTACTAAAGATAGAGCTTCCATATTTTCCAGCAATCCCACTCCTAGGTATTTACCCAAAGGACACAGAAAAATCAATTCCAAAGAGCACCTGCACCCCTATGTTTATAGTAGCACTGTTTACAATAGCTAAGCTTTGGAAACAGCCAAAATGCCCAAAAATAGATGACTGGATCAAGAAGATGTGGTACATATACACCATGGAATATTACTCAGCATTCAAAAAAGATAAACACACGCAATTTGCAGCAACATGGATGGAGCTGGAAGGGATCATGCTCAGCGAAATAAGCCAGAAAGAAAAAGAAAAATACCAGATGGCCTCACTCATAGCAGGCATCTAGAAAACTTAAATAAGGGACCAGGAAAATGAATAACTATAAGAAAGTGAAAATCAAAATCAACCAAAAACTATGAATGAGAGAGACTCTATGGGGGGTGGGGGGCAGGGAGGGGAGGGACTGGGGTCAGAATGGGGGGGTTGCAATTGTATGGGGAATATAAAAATAAAATTTATTTAAAAAATAAAAAAGACACATTTCCCTGTGATTACTATGGCGATTCCAGGTTTAGCTCTGCTGGGAAGTCATTGTATGCACATTCTGAACAAAGTTTTGAAGTACCTAAATTATCTGTTCCGAAGAATAGAGACAATAACTCTACATGTGTCTTTTAAAAAGAGCAGAAGTAGTCGACCTCCCTAATATCATCCTCAAAGCTTACTCTCTCCCCATCACCTATTTTCTTGGCCATCTCCAGCCTCGGGCCTGCACAGACTATTTCCACTTCTTACAGAGACAGTGTCTATGAGTAAGAGATGAAATTATTTTATCTACTGCCACCGTAACCTGTTTTATTCCCTAAACACCTCAGACCATTTGGCCTAAAGACAAAACGGCAAAATCCAAAGGGAAGGACCATCCTATGCTTATTCACAATCAGGAGGCATGGACCTCGACAGACTTTGTGGTGTGGTATATAATCTGCAGTGTAAGAGCTACTTTAAGCTAGACATGGGACATCTCAGTGGGTTTTAAGTGTCATTGGATATAGCTTTTTGAACACACATTATTACACTGAAGGTAACTGAAGATGAAGAAATGAGGAGCTATATGAAGATCAAAGCTTCTATGGCAGGAGCCTGACCTCCTTTTAGGTTTGGAAACCCATGGGGCCTGTTTGTGAAACACTGCATTTAAAATTAAAAGATGCCCTTTAGAGAACCATTCAGCACAAGTTCGTTGTGAAAACAGAAGAAAATAAATGCTGATGCTGATAGCAGGAAAGGGGCAGGCTAGTGTCAGGACCCTTCTTTCCATGAGGTCACACATTCCTTCCCAATGGGTCTGTTTGTACACTCCCCTCCTTCCTTGCTCTAGCAGAGGACTCCTCCTCAGCTTTCTTAAGGCAATAGTTATGAGCTCATCTTCCCACCATGAGGAAAAGTCACACCCTACTCACCATTCATCTCATCCGTGCATTGCCAGCACAATGTCAAAGAATGCATCAGAGAGAGATCAACATGGCAGAGGGGAAATGCTGCGAGTAAGTCCTCCCATAAAAAAAAAAAAAAAAGTTAATAGGGAGGAAAAATGGCTGGTCCCTGCGAGAACTGGGAAGCGGAAGATAAATGGGTGACTGACAAACTGCATGAAGAAGAAAGTTGTCATAAGAGGACAAGAAGGGAGGAAAGCTCAGAACCTGGCTACCCTCCCCACCCACAAAGTCAGCACTCTCCGACCAACAGAAAGGAGGAAAACAAACAAACAAGCAAAAACAACCAACAAGAACAAACTACACATCAAGCGGGACTGTGAGTGGAAAGGAACTATTTCAGGCACTGCACCCTGTGAACTGGAACTGTGGAAAACTGGGCAGGAATCACTGCGGAGGTGAGTGAATGGCTCTTGCGCCATTAGAGGAAGATAAGGACTCTGTGGAGACCTATAAATAGCCCAAGACCAGCCCATAAGCTTGTGCAGAAAAGCAGTGCACTTGAAAAGAATATGCAGAATGCGGATCCCAGCTGCCCAGGTCCCCGTGCCTGTGGGGAGATGCGCAGGAGCCCTCATTGAGGTGAATGTCCCTCACCGAGTAATCAGAAACCAAGCACCTGGACATGGGAGCAGGGTGCAAAAGGTGCCATATCTGTGGATACTAAACTGGGCTACAGCCCGCATCCTGGATCTGAGGGCTTCAGAACTGAGGGCACAATATTCGGGGTGCAGAATCTCCACGACAGTGGGGCACAGGGCAGACCCTGCACCCCCATGCCTTTGAGGCTCTCCACACCACTCCCACTCTGTTCCCCTGGACCCATGGGGGAGAAAGACAGTTCTGGAAGGACACTAGAAAAGATCTCTGGCGCCACCTAGTGACCAGAAAAAAAATCACCAACATCCTGAGAGTTGGAAATCAGGGATCCCAAAAACACCCTCTGGCTCTGAGAGAGGGTGGGCAGCATAAACGGGGATAAGGAGAGAAATAAGGCGTGGAGCAAGACCCCATCCTAAACCTGAGAGCCAGCCGCAGGATCCGGGGCATGGGACGTGCCATAACAGCAGGCACTGCACAGGGTGACAGCCAGCATTTTTGATCTGATAGCCCTGCAATTGAGACCTAGAGTGCAGAAGTCAGGACATGGAATCCATACACCTGTGGGCAGAGCACCTGGTGAACACGGAGCAGACACAGCACCCAGCTTGAATAAGAGCCCCTGTGTTGAGGTGCTCACCCTGGTAACCCCCCGCCTCCATTTCTCAGAGAATCACTGGGATAAAGCACTGGTCAGCAAGTATGGATCTCTGGTGCCACCTCGTGACCAGAACAAAATCACCAACTAGTTGATTCCTTGTTGGAACAGTAAATACAGAGAGAGGGAACTGTAAGGGACAGTGCCCAACAACACAGCATCAACACCCTGGTGGAGTTTTGGCCTACCAGTACTGGTCTCAGTCTGGTAAACAGTTTCCAGCACCCCTAAAGGAGCATTCCAGAGCAACGCCTGCCAACACCAGTGGCACAACGTCCCAATGCATAGAACTAATTAGAAAACTAACAACAGGGAATAGAAAACATAAAAATAACCAAGTAAGCCCGCAGGAGAACAAACCACAAAAAGAAATAAGGTCACCAGAGCTCAACAATGACATGGAAGAACTCAGCCTATTAGATAGAGAATTAATGATCATCATGATTAAAAAGCAGAAAGAAAACAAAAAGGAAAAAAAAATGATTTGAGACAAATAATCACTGAACTTAAGAATGAAATTGAGACATTAAGAAAGGAAAGAAAAGAAACACAGGAGATTAAAAGATTACTAGAGGAGCTAAAGAACTCTGGGGAAAGCAAAGAAAATGGAATCAATGAAATGGAAGAACAAATCAGTGGTATTGAAGATACAGAAATACAAAAGAGCCAAAAGAGAAAAGGAGAGAGAAGTGCAAATGAAGCAGTATGAGGAGACTCTTAGACAATTATCAGGCTCCATGAAGAGTGGAAATGTAAGAGTCATATGCATTCCGGAAGGTGAGGAGAAAGACAAAGGAACTGAGAAATTATTCAAGAAGATAATTGAAGAAAACTTCCCAAGCATGAAAAAGGAGATGAATATAGACATACAAGAAGTGAGAAGAACTCTCAATTACCACAATGAGAAGAAAACTACAGCAAGACACCTAATAGTAAAGCTTGCAAGAGTCCAAGGCAAGTCAAAAATAATGAAACTGGAAAGGGGGAAGAAACATATAACTTATAAGGGAAAACCAATCAGGTAAACTGCAGACTTCTCTGAAAAAAATTATGGGCAAGAAGAGGATGGAGTAACATATTCAGCAAACTTCAAGACAGCAAATGCCAACCAAAAATACTTTACCCTGAAAAGCTCCCCTTACTCTATAAAGAAAAAATATGGACCTTCTCAGACAAACAGAAACTCCAGAAAGTCATTACAACTAAACCCCCCACTCCAAAAATTTCGACAAGAAGTCCTAAAGCCAAAACCAACAGAGGAATGAACAAGAAGAACAGAATAAAGCAAATAATAAAATCACAAAAAAGACAAACAAAATGACAAACACAGATTCCAACATACCAATATTAACTCTAAATGTAAATGGATTGAACACATCAATAAAAAGACACAAAGTAGCAGGCTGGATTAAAAAACAAAATCCCACCTTCTGCTGTCTCCAGGAAACACATTTAGCCACAAAAGGTAAACATAGACTGAAAGTAAATGGTTGGAAAACAATCCTACAAGTAAATGGGCCAAAAAAGAAGGCAGGAACAGCCATACTTATATCAGATGAAATAGACTTCAAATTAAAAAAGGTAAAAAGAGACATAGACAGACACTACATTATGATCAAGGGGACAATACATCAGGAAGATACAACACTTGTCAACATATACTCACCAAATGAAGGGGCACCAAAATTTATAAGACAATTGTTAACTGCTCTGAAAACAGAATTAAAGAAAATACAGATATACTGGGAGACTTCAACACCCCACTCTCACCAATGGACAGATCAACGAATAAACAGACAAAAAATAAACAAAAACACTAGAGCCCTAAATAAACACATGGAACTCATGGACTTAACAGAC